TTCCTGCTGCCTATTTAATTAAAAATTCATACTGTTCACAGAGACGGCTTACACGAATTTTTCAGGGTCACATGTATGCCATTTTAAGAACATGGTTCAGTTTGTCATTACAGGTGCTTCGTGCAGTAGCTACTAGTTGGTAATGATTTCGGTGCAGTGGGTTTACGCCACACAACGCACAGCTCAAGCAGTACGCATTCCACCAAGTAATTCATGCGGAGATTCTGAATCTTAGATCAAGATTTCTCATTTCTCAGAGCAGCTCAGCTTGATACGTTTAAAGGATGGGGAGAGTACTCAGATTACAGGATCTGCCTACCATCATAACACAAGCCTAAGCATTTTAACAAGGCTTCTTTGACAACAAAAAGAGCATGGCCATAAAAAGAGTTAGATTTTTCTCATCCTAAAAGAGTTTTAGAACACAGATTTGATCAGAACAGCTTTTTTAGGGTAGCCAGTGAATTCAGTCCTCTATACACGAGGCAGTCGTTTGACAAAAGCATTTTGGATAAGCTTTGTGCCACAAGAATATCCAGACTTTGAACCTTAACTAATTTTAGAACTTTTAACTGCAAAACGTCTGAAAGGATGAAAACAACTTTTTGCTGTTACGTGCAGGCGGCTTCAGTCAGCACTTTTATATCTTCTAATTCTGGACTTACAGTCTGTCAGTTGGCACTGCAGGATCCCATTGCCTGTGAAGAATTATTTCTCCGTTTCCAGACCACTGAACTGGTAAGTGCCAGCAGGACCAACCTGTCTCCCCCGCAGACGGTGCTTTCCGTTGATCTGCAACAGGGAGCCCTGAGCATGTCGTTATGTTCGGAAGCCAGCAGTGGTTTCATAGCGTTTCCAGGAGAAAAATCAAAATAATTTTCAACGGGTACTACAAGCTACTGTAAAAGGAATACTCACTTTTATTAATACTTTTAAAAGATGCATAAAGACAACCAGAACACTGTATCACAATTTACAATCTGTACATTATAAACATACATCTACTAACTCATAGAACAGCAGTATACCCAACGTGATTTTATCAGGCCAGACAGGGTCCTGTAACATTCGTCTGCCTGTGTAATGTTTATCACATTCTCAGATTCAGTCACAGTGAAGTGTAGCTGCAGAATGCATCCCTGAAGGGGCATTTGTTACGCAAAGCTTAGGTAAGGGAAGCCAAGACGAGGGCTCCCCATAGATCTGTGCGGCTGGAGTGCCACAGGCTAACGGGTGCATCGCACAAGATTTGGCTCAAGCTCAGCTGAAAGAGGGGAGTGTAAATGAGATTTCTTTCCATGACTCTGACTACAGTTTGGCTAGAGAGAACTATGCAGATAGTTAAGAAAAATACCACTTTCTAGTTACAATCATATTCCCCATAGAGTTTTTCCACCTCTTGTACTATTACCTTCATGTACTAGGTGTGGTTCCCTGCTCTCCTTTGATTAACGGACAACAAACCAGACCTTCCTTCCTTCCTTCCTTCCTTCCTTCCTTCTTTAATTTGTCCACCCTCCGTCCCTGCTGTCAAGACTCCACAGGCACTGAAACTGTAGCAGAGAAGTATAATTTGCTGGAAAGAACATAAAGATGGGGGTTTTGAACTGTTTAAACTGGGGACTTTTTTAAAACCAAGTTACAGAGTATTTGAGAGTTTAGTTGAGAGATTCTAGTTTGCACAGATCCTTGGGTCAGTATTGTCAGTGCTTCCTAGCAGAAGAGATTTCCAGGAGGTTGTTGAGCTAACCGTGAGCTAACTGTGAAGTAGAGACCTCCCTTCCCAATTTGTGGTATATCGGATATTCCAAGCTTTTTCCATCCCTTTTTGTTTTTCTGTCTCCAGACTGTATCTGGACAGAGAGCCAGATAAATGCAGTCCTGACAATTATCTCTATACGATTATAAGTTCTCTCCGTGTTCACAGAGCTGAAATAAAAGGAGAAGAAAAAAAAAGAACAGAAAAAAGGAGACAATGGTTTTGCTATCGCAGTCAGCAGGACCGGTGTTTGGCCCACGTATCACTGAGGCCAGCAGTGCAGACACATGGGAACGCTTTGAAATATGTTATTGTCTGTCGTTGCCTAGTTATTCAGAACTCTGGAAAAGGCGGCCATGTAAACGAAATCACAGTAGTGATTTCACTGTCAAGTATAAAATAGATGCTTGCACATTTATGCTGCCACCTGCAAGTGAGAAACTAAATCCCAATCCAGGTATACAAATGAAGAAAAAAAAAATTTAAAGTTCTCATTTGAGACAGAGTAAAAGCCTTTGAAGATTGTCACTTCAAGGATTTTTGTGCAATAAACTGAAGCTATTTGTATGCATTTAGGTTTCTGTGATAAAGTCAGAAGAACCCTTAAGAGTTTTCCAGTTTTAATTCATTTCTTCTCTCTACTTCTTTCTTTTTTTCCTAATCTTTTTGAAGGATTCTATAACAAAAGAGTGATAGAAAATACCTTTCTATCCCTTAAGACAGCATTGGTGATTAGCATCAAGAAAAGAACCACTTCTAGATTCTCGTGGATAATCTTACAATATCAGACCGTTTTCTAAGACTGATCGTTCTTATTTGTGCTCCTGACCCTAATGCTTCAAATCAGTCCAGACAGACAGCTGACATCTGTAACCTTGAGCTTTGGAAGTCCAAAATCATCAAACCGAATTTGATCGCAGTTACCACTGGCACCATGAAACAATTAGGTTTGATCTGTCACTACTTCAGATGTTGCAGGTCCAGCAGCTTGCAGTCTGCTCCTTGATGAATCGATGATGGAATTTTATACTATCGATATCCTGGTAATTCCTGGTCACCTTTCATGGTGATCACAATATCCAGATGCTCTTTTCATCTTTGAAACTTGATGTTGCTTAACCCTTCATCACTTCAGTAGAAACACAACTGGGTCTCTGAATAGCATTTTTTAAATTTTTTAAGTGACTTTTAAAAAATTTGAACTCCGTCATTCACCTACTCCAAGCATCACTCAAGGTTAAATGTGACTTTTTTTCATTTTGCCACTATCATGAAAATCAGCCACCGATTCATAAAGCAGCAAGAAGATAGGAAAACACAGAGAACACCTTCCTCTCTTCTTTATGTTACCTGTGAAATGATGAAAACAGACTATTAGATGTATGCCCTTACCTTAATCATCATTATCGTCACCAAAACCATGCATTTGATGCGCTCTGAAAACAGACAACAGTGACTGGTAGATATTGGATGTTTCAAGTACAGGATCCAGGCTTCCTGCTGCTACTAATCCTCGGTGCTAATGAAGACGAACGTTTCCTGACATACTCGGATACTACACCAACGCGGTAACTGGTGCCACAGGCACGTGCTGCAAACACGAGAGAACAGCAGTGGAGGGAGACGCACGGGGTTGTTTATGCAGAGCTGCGTTAAACGCATCTTGACATCTTTTACTTGGTGTGAAAGCTGAGCAGTGTCCAGGAATCACCGACATTCACAGAGCGGAGCTCTCTACCCCTGACTGCCATTGCTCTGTGTCCAGAGGAAAAGCGAGGTCACTTGGGAGCTGGCCTATATGTTCAGAGACTCTTAGCGCACGCTGCCCGTGAATGACAGACAGGAGGTTAGAGAAAGCTTGGCTTTGGTAAGGTTTCCTGGCAGTGTTCATATCCCTAATGTCTTCTTTCCCAAGTAGGTACAGTTATTCAACAAGAGAAAGAGTTAGTTGTGCCGTAGGCCCTTACGGATCACTCCAGTTTTTCCCTGCTGCTGTACAAAGCTGGTCTGTGAAGCTGGTACGGCACCCGAGCCTCCCACAGCCTGCAGCCTGATCAGTGCCGTATATATGGCCCAGTCTACACCCGGTGATTCGTGCACTGAGGGCAAGAGTCATGCAAAAGCTTGGCTCACTGCATGGTTTAGGGAGCCAGTGGCAACTGCAGCCATTGCCAGGACCATTCAAACCACAGCTCAAGCAGCTGGCCGTCGCTCTGCAATGTGTTTTTTGCCATCTGAAAGAAAGCTGGAGGGCATCTAGTGTCTGGCTTGACTCCGGCTTCTCATTCTTCACTGGGATCATTTCACGGATGCGTCCTGCGTAACTTTTTTTTAAGAGCAAGAGGAAGCGCGTGGCAGAAACCTGGGAGCAGAAATCCTACACAAAACCCTAACTTCCCGTGCCTGCTGCAGCTCCTTCAGTCCAGGAGTGTCAAGACAGTCAGATCCTGGTGATCGTCAGCAAACCGTTAGCAAATTGCTAACGATGCAATTAGTTCAAGGATCCTTGAAACTGTGCAGGCAGAATCAATGAAGTAAAAGTGGCTGCCAGTGGCTAAACTACACAAAACAGACTTAAGAGCAAGGAATGTCAGAACCAGTGGTTTGCTCTGAGTACAGTATAGGCACAGCTTCATACTGAGACAAGCAGCTGTTGAGGATTTGTATTAAGTAAAAGTGAAAGGCCTTACTAAAAATCAACACAAAAATATCTCTAAGGAGTACAGAACTCCTCTATTAAACATGAGAAGTACACAGAGCTATTGAGTTTTCCGCAACAGAAAGAGAAGCTCGTGAGCGGCCAGTCACTGAACTGGGCTGACCTGGGCGTCCTAGAAGTCCATTCCTGTTGATGCAGCTCTCGCAGTCTGCGAGCGCTGGTGCCAGGGCGATGGGGACGCAAGGTGAGTGGGGAAAGGGGCCCTGGTGTGATCCTGATCTGTGCCGCTCTGGGGCAGCACCTCTTTCCTTAGCCATGCGTGCATTGGTGCTGCTACTGTGCCTGCTGCCAGTGAGACCAGAATCAACAGCTGCCACAGAAACAAATCTTGTTGCCTCGGGGAGCCAGGGTTTATGTTACCTTTGTGGGATCATCTGAATCTACACACTGATCCTGGAGTCCAGCTGCTGAAGGTGTTCGAGAACTCCATAGGGAATGGTGGGATTCCACATCCTGTAAGGGGAAATTCGGAAAGGAAAGAGATTTTAAGCAGCATAATTTGTTTGTGTTTTGTTTTTAAAGTTGCCTTTCCCTTTTGAATATCATTCTATAAAAGTATTTAAGCTATGGAACAAATGAAAATGCATTTTCCTTTAGAAGAAAGCAGTGCACTCCTCCATAACCTGGCTGACTCTGGTTATAGGACACACTACAGTCCTGTCTCCATAACTGTTCTTCAGCTTTCTGTCAACCCCCCTTCCCCTGAATGCGTCCTGGCAGCTTCAGTCTGTTTAACCTCTAACGATGGCTGCTCATTGTTTATCCTTCAGACACAAGTCCTGCAGCACAGAGTAGGTCAGGTACTCTGGGAGGGGAGAAGATTACCAAAGGGAGGCTCAATGTAAACTATGCTTAAAGCAGGACAAGCTCGCTCGCCTGGGACGACTGGGAATTAACGCAGCTGAAACCTGAGACAACATTTTTAACGTTTCTGTGACTGCTTTTGTATTTTGGTGATGTCTTTGTGCCTCTTATAAATCTGACAAATACAGAACACAGCTTTAGCATGAATTCTAACCCGATTTAGAGAAGGAAGGTGCAGCAAACAGCATATCAAGAGACTTACACCAAGTTCTTTATATGGGGGCATTTTCGTAGGCTGTCAGTCAGCTGCTGGGCTCCAACACCAGTTATTTTGTTATACTGAACACTGAGGGGGAAAAAAAGTTTGTTAATCCAGATCACATCATATAGCAGTATAATAAAAACATTGCGTTCAAAATCAAAAATACTATACGGGCTTAACTGCAGATGGGGGAAGAAAGAAAAATAAAAATGCCAAAATAGACCCTTGATTCAAAAACCTGTAATAAAAGACTCAACAGGTCAAACTGGAACTTCATTAAGTTAGTTCATCTGAGGGATTCCTTATTCTATGTACCCGAGGTCCTTCTCCAACTCCCCATGACCCTATTCTCCCACCTTAAAACCAATTTTTCGGTTTTTATGGTGAACCGCTCCTTAATCCTTTCTAACCACTGACTATCTGGACTCTGCATAAGCACATTTTCCCTGTGAAATTTCCCTGAAATGTTCTTCCTCCATTTCTGTCTCCTCTACCCTGAGCACGGAAGATTTGAATTTTCAGTATCCAAGCAAGTAAGCTTTCCTGGGCCATCTTAAAAGATTTCATACTCACTCTAGCACTCTTAAAGATGCCATCGCAGGAAGAACTTTCGCAAGATTTTCTGCTCCAAAATCACAAATGCTATTATTGTATAAGCTGCAGAAAATTAAACCGGTAGAGTCACAATCGAATAATGGATTATGTAAACAGATTATATATTAGATCAAGGAATTTCAGATATGGGTGGTACATCTTAACTTCCCATGTATCCTTATCTATTTGCAGTTAGTATTTAAAACACAGTTTCGTATTTTCCGTATCAAGTAAAGCAAATGGGCACATCCCTTCTTCAGCTAGCACAGCTACAGCAAGAACAGGCCTAGATTCTTCATGAATAACGGGAACATTTCTGTCTACATTAGATCAAATTAAAACTCTGCAAGAAAATGACGCTCAAAGACTTGGGGCACAGCATTCAAAAGATTTCCACGTGAGCAAATTATTTCAGAACTGCACACCACAGTTTCTTGCGTTCCCTGCTGAGACACTTCATTCAGGCCTATGCCAGACATTTTCATGAAGTGGGATGGACCATCGGTCCCATATCAGCAAACGCACACCACCTCCTTGCTGGCTTAGGGCTTAGCAAGCTCCCCATAAGCTTGCAGCAGATCATGGCCCTGGGTGCACATTTGTACAGGGTATTATTCATAAGTGGGTGTTACGGATTGGATTTAAAAATCAGTACAGCCCTCGTTATATTCTCGAGATATCCTTCTGTATGTCTACACTGGGTCATACATTTCCCTCCTCTTCTCTCTAAAGGCTTTATGCAAGAATGAAGTCAAAAGCTTGGCTGCCGCACAGTGTACATATTTGTTCCACGTTCAGTAATTTCTGACAGAGATAGCAAGGTGTGTTGTATAAAACAGCTGAACAGGATACCACCACTTACCTTAGTGTCTTTAACGAAGACAAGGAAGGAAGAGCTGTAGCTAGTTTCTCCGCACCCACATCCGTTATCTTATTCTGTGATAAGCTACAGTAAGTGAGATCGCTTTGTTAGTTGAGCACATTTATTCTAATTTATTCCAATGTGGGGAAAATTCATTTTCGATGTCTTTTTTATATAACTTGGACCATCCATTTACACCAAATGCAGGAAAAAAGACAAATTACGGCCCTTGAAGGGAAATAAGGAATTGCCATAGGATTAACCTATTTCTCTAATGAACGTACAGATTATGTCCATAGACTCATTGGTCTTCCACACCCATGGGTTAGTTGTGCCCATACTTGTTAACACACAGTCCCTTAAGGCTCTAGGTTTAATCTATTTCTTTCAAAAAATTTCCAGAACTGTTAACCTCGCACTTACTTTAATGTTTCCAGTGATGTCAGGGTTGGAAAGACTTCAGATAGACTCTTCGCTCCTTCATCTCCTATGCCATTTTCACTCAGAGCATCAAGGCTGGGTGATGACAAAGAGAGAATTAGCTTCCCTTTTAATCTAAATTTTTGCGGTTTATTCACCTCAGAGACCACTCTATTTATCTTGAGGTGCTCCTTCTCTGCAGTAGCCTCAATCAGCAAGAAGCATCACGCAAATTACAGCTTCTCTAATAAGCAGCTTTCTGCTTCCCAAATTTACAGTGTAAGATTTTTTTTTTTACTAGTTGAATGGCTTGACCCATTTCCTTTGATATGCAAATGGCAGCACTTAATGCCTTGCTTCCACCATACACTGAAGATTATTAAAATGGTTATGAAATAGCTGTGTTCCAGCTATGCTGAAATGAGATTGCCTGTGCACACAGAAATACAGAACTGACAAAATCCAGCAGATGCTGTAAATCCCTGCCTAAACAGCTCCTTCTCCAGATAGGGAGTATTAGAAATGAAGTTTTCCTCATCCAGGTATCCAGATGGAAAGAGTTTTAGTCACAATTTTAGATACTGGTCCCCTTCTAATCTGACAGACAACGCTGGGATACATCGGACTCATTCCAATTTTAGAGCTTTATTGTTTTCCCAAAATATCATGAAAAGGCCAGATGCAATACAGACAAATGGCCAATGGGCTGAGCCAGTGAGGCCAAAGCCCTGTCAAAACCCAGCAATCTTCCCACAGAGATGACTGCAGAATATTGAATATTGTTGCTACAATTGTTTCTGGCATAAAGAAGCTTAAAATTCAGAGACAGCTGATTTGTCACGGATACGAGAGAATAAATAGTAACTGGAGTTCTTAAAACTCTATTTCTAATACTGCTCCTGGTAAAGGAAGGGACAAAGACTGTGTGAAAATACATGGGCAGAACAAAACCAGATACTAGCTGAGTATGGCTTTTTTCATATCTTTTATATGAATCAAATCCACAAAGCTCAATCTCTTACAACTTCTACCAGAAGTTCAGGATGTTCGTAGACACCAGAAGGTGCACAGCACCGGCACAAACACTGAAGTTAACCCCCAAATTCAACACTGATTCTGGTTTAGGAGGGAGCCTCTTCTCTCCCGGGGCAGACACGACTGTGAGTCCCCCAGAAACCTCACCACGAGGGAGGCTGGGGCGTGGGCACGCTATGGAGCTTGAATGAAGAAATAAGTAATCCGCCGGCAGCGTGGATCAGTGCCGTGGCAGGAAGGGGAGCACCCCGTGGGGGTCTGAGCTAAACCTTTTAACCACTGAGGAACACCCGGGGAAGTGAACCATGAACCACTACCAGAGTCTTAACGGAGATGAAAAGCGCTGGCTTTTAGTCTGTGGTTATATTCTCTGAATGTTTTTGTTGTTCAGTTTGTTCACCAAAGCAAGTAGTCTTGCTGGCAAATAAAATGGTTTTTAGGTACATGACCTCCCCCATCATTAAGGGCTGCTGAGGAGCAACATTAGCAAAGTTAATCTTTATCATTACTCACTCTAAATGCTGAAGTGATGGAAATGCTGCAAGAATTTCCACGAGTTTTAGGAATCCCTGCAGGCCACATGCTGGACCCAGCCTGGAAGAAAATAAATATAGACATGGTGCAGTTTTTCCACATGCTGAGAAACAGCAAAAGTTATGAATTTTTAAGTTCTTCCCCCGCAGCCCCAAATGCAAGCTAGTTTACACTCCTTAGAAGCAGCCATTCCCTACAATCTGCAGCAAGGATTTCTGCTTTGAAGCCTCCAGATGAGGACCCCACAAGGCAAAGGTCAGACAGAGCAGAGCTGCTTGGACAGAAGCAGCAGTACGTGCATTTGACACTTTTTTGTTACTCTTTGCAAGACTCATCTCACTTGGTTTAGATTCCTGTATTTCTGTTATTTTTCTATTTTTTTTTCAGGTTTTTCATTTTAACTATTATAATCTTGATAATGGAGATTAAAAAATATTATCTTTTTTTTCCCCCCAACTATTGGCAATTCAGACTAACTTAAGATCAACATTTTACTGTAGCTTAAAGCATAAATTGAACTTTAATATTTCAGCTCCAAGCATTTGTCCCTCAGACACTGACCTCTCATTTGGAGTTTCCTTAGTATCAGAACAAGTTCAGTTTAGGTAAAAGGATCAGAATTTTAACCAAAAATTTAAAATAAAGGGAAAGTAGGACAGGAAACGAGAAGAGAAAGCAGAATAAAATCAGAAGTGAGGCCAAGCATAGCAGTTCTGGGTCAGATGTGAAGAGCAGGAAACAGATGAAGACCTGATAGGGCAGAAAATTACATCAGAAGACTCAGATAGAAGAGTTGAGCATTTCTGAGGGAAAAAACCATTTCCCAGGTAGCTGGATCACGATCAAGATATTTTATACCCTGTGGCACAAGATCTGGCATTTTGAGGACATGGTTTAGTGGTGGACTTGGCAGTGCTAGGTTAACGGTTGGACTCGATGATCTTAAGGGTCTTTTCCCACCTTAACGATTCTATGATTCTATGATTCTATGATCTACATCTGGTGATAAGGAGCTAACTTGTAGTAAAATCAAACAGAATTGATACGACATGTTGATCTGTGTCACTGGAGGAGCCAGAAAAGACATTTTCTGAGTTTTGGCCATAACTTAATAAATCTAGTTGAGAAAAGTGAAATAGAAATAAATGGGTTTACTTAATGTTTTACCATAAACTAACTATACATCAGTTCAATGACTGTAGCCAATATCCATGACTCTTCTCCATCTTAAATGTAATTATATCTCGATCAACAGGGAGGTATATCACTTACGCAAATTCTAGTTTTCTGAGGTTTTTGATGGCAGGAATTTCATAGCTGCTGCAACCAGATGCATCTTGCACACTAAATAAATCACAATAGAACCAGAGTATGAGAAATATTTTAGCAACCAAAAGAGTGCTTTAAAAATAATTTCTTAGTAAACTTCTACAGGAAATAAACCACTGCTGCATTAACTGACGAACCAGGGAACTTCAGAATAACTTCTGCTCCAACCTTTCTTCATTCAATTCATTTCAATCTGATAATTGCCTTTCATAGTGCAGTCGTTTGCTCTTTTTCCAATAAAACTTAAAAATACATTCTTCTAAACCAAGTATTTTCTGTCAAACATGAAACTTATTTTGTGTATATTTTAATCAAAATACTGTGCCTGTGTTAAAATGGAAGTCACCATTTTTATGTAAAAAAACCCCAACCAAAATACTTTATTTATGCATGCTTTTACTTGCAACCAATCCCCTGGCAACACCATGAGCAGGGATGAAACACAGGGCTTCTAGATCACAGAACACAAGCTTTTACCTCCTGAGGTCAAGGACTGACTCAGGTCGTTTGGGACTGGTGCAAAACAAGCCTTCGTTTATGGCCCAGCTGCTACGGGGGGGGGGGAAATCAGTCACCCCAAGTTATGTAACTGAAAGCGACTGGAAGATAGCGTATTCAGAGATTAAAAAGAAATCTGGAGAAAAAAATGACAGCTGGCTTTTTTATTGGCAGTTTTGATAAATATTCTGCATGGTGCTGTCATTGCTCCTCCCTGCCATGACAACCATTTCGGGGTAGGAGAAGGCTCTGAGACAAGAGCCTTAGTTCCTTTCTCCTTTGGACTCCATTCTCCAGCACTGTCAGTGAACCCCCATCTTCTTAATTCACTAGTATATTAAGAGGACTTTTGATCATAAATGAGCCTACCAATTGATCATCTTCTCCTGCATCTCGACAAGGTCTGAAAGGTCACTGACGTCCTTCATTGTCTTTGCCTTAAAGGGATCAAGAACAAATTTCTCTGTTGATGCTCTCAGCAGTTCATAGTCTTTTGTTTGTTCTAAAGATTTCCAGAGCCTGACTGTATTGCTGAGGGAGGCCCTGTGAAGTGACAAAACACGTGAAATCAACAGATATGACTGCTGTTGTTGATGAAAGTGTCATCTACATACAGTCCTATGAATGACACTGCTATCTACAAAGAATGACCAACCTGAACGATGCCACGTTCTTTAGGCCAACCAAGTCTTTTAGCCCTTGCATGTCAATGCTGCTGTTTCGCAAATCCAAGGAAAACTCTTTTCTTGATGTTTTTAAAATAGAATGCAGTACATGGACATCAGGCGGTGTAAGAACTACGTCCAGAAAAGACAGGTCTGGCTTGAGCCTTAAGGCCACATGCTGCAAAAGATAAATGCTTTGCGTTTCATAAATACAATGTAAAAGCTCGAGTAACCTCTCCGGACAGAGCTCATTTATCTGCAGCTTTCTAATATATTTCAAGAGTGTTTTCTGCTTCTTGGTTGATTGTTTTACATCCTTATTTGAAAGGGAGCAGAAGTAGGGGTCATCCTGGAGGAACAACAATCCAGCCAAAAATCGAGGCACTAAGTCTAACCAGTTATAAGGTTTTTTCTTCTTGGATGGAAAAGACAGGTACTTTGTTAGACTTTTATCCTTGATCTCTTCTGCTAACATAAGGTGAAGTGCACCCAAGAAATTCTGAATGACAAAATCGGAGAATGTGCTCCCAAATTCCTCTTCTTCACTATCTGAATGTCTGGGGAATGCAAACGGCAGGAAAAATCCGTATTTCAGAGCAAACTCTTTAACTTCCTTAGAAGGAAGATAACTTTTCATGGCACTTTGGTGCTTTTCTCCAAGATACCAGGCTATACGGGCTAGTGTAGCCAGATTCTCCTGGTTTTGCATGGCTGCTACATCTGTTTGCATAGGTGTTATCTTTTGCTGAACAAGTTTCAGGAAGACTGTAGTAAGAGTTGAAGGAAGGTTTTTGTCTCCCATTTCAAGTACAGTCTCACAGACAAAACAAACAAATCTACACATAATAGGGTTGTAACAATGACTGAACAAGTACTCACACTCTTTGATTAATTTCAGTGCATTATCACAGTAGGATAATCCTTCGAAGTATTTGGTTATGTACAATTCTCTTTGCTGAGGGGAAAATCCTACTATTTCAATAGTCTTATCCACTTTGGACACATACTGGTACACCTTGTCTTTTGGTCTTGCTGTAAGTAATAAAGTGCAACCATTGAGTATCTTTTTTTGGATGAGTCCTGAAAGCAGCTCTTTTATACTGCACAAGTCTTTTTCAGGCTGCCTGGCTGAACAACGAGGAAGATTCTCGTGATCATGCAGCCCTTCAAAACCATCAAAAATCAGAAGGACTTTAGCAGGATTTTGCAATATATACTCAAAGATCTCTTTGCTTCCCTTTTGAGGTTTTACAAAAAATTCAAGAAGTAGATCCTTCAGGCTGTATTGCTTCTCAGGCAAGCTTATTTGTTTGCAGTCAAACCAAAATACAAATTCAAATTGAGAAAACTCTCCATTGGACCAGTCCTGGCAGATCTTCTGAGCAAGAATGCTTTTGCCCATTCCTGC